AGTTAGTGCTACAAATATTTCAAACATTTCACTCATGAATTAGGATGTAAAGTTTCTAAATAAAATGAAGACTAGCAATGCATAAAAACAATAATGCTCTATGACAAATTATTTGGAAAATAGCTCATGGTCAGTAAACCTACTGAAATAATTACACTTCAATCTGAAGGAGGAAAGTCATGTGATAGTATCAATAATAATAAATGCTAACAATTAAAACATTATTTTTTAATTCTAACAATTTAATAGAGCAGTTACTATGCTTCTGATACTGTTTTAAGTTCTTTGTGTATATTAACTCATTTAGTCCTTACATCAGCATTATGAGAAAGATAATCTTATTATGTTCCTTTATACATGAGGGAACAGACACATAATAGTAACTTGCAAAAGATCACATAATTCTTTAAGTGAAAGAACAGGGATTCAAATTCAGGTAGTCTGGATCCTGTTCTATGCTGCAATATATCTTGGCATCCGTAGATACTGAAAAATCATTCTATAAATGTTTATCAACATTCCAATAAAATATTAGGTAATAGGAATGAAGGAGCTACTTATTATAATAAAGATAATTTACCTGAATATAGAGTTAAAACAAAAGAGATGGAACATATGAGAGAGAAGAAACAAATTGGATCAATTTTTACCCTAATTTAGTATTATTTTCTCAACTTCTCCCCAGAGCTCATATTGAACGTTTTGTTTTGGCAAGCATATTTTAATTTCTCAGCGTACTTTCTTGTTATCTTATTTCTCTGTCTTATGTCAGATTTTTTTGGTTTAATTTTATGAATGCAACATCTCAAATTTTTCTAAACAGATTAATTAGGAAAGAGAAAAGTTGAATGCTATTCCCTCAGTTCTATTTTCTTCAATGTGATTTATTTTATTTTTATTCTATTTAAAATATTTTTTTTAAGTTTATTTATATTTGAGAGACAGATTGAGTACAAGCGGGGGGAGAGGCAGAGAGAGAGGGAGACACAGAATCTGAAGCAGGCTTCAGACTCCGAACCTTCAGCACAAAGCCTGATGCAGGGCTAGAACCCATGAACCCTGATATAAGGTCATGACCTGAGCCAAAGTCAGATGCTCAATAGACTGAGCCACCCAGGCGCCCCTATTTTTATTCTATTAATACATCATGTAGACATTAGTTATAAACTAGAAAAGGAAAATGCTTTGAATTCTCTACATCAACAGAAATAATTTTTTGATGCTGCTTAAGGCTGAAAATTATATTGGTCAAGGATTTAAATAATAAGCTTTTCGGAATAGCTCATTTTTCAAATTTTAGTTTTATTTTATGAAATGCTTAATGCAACAATTAAGCATTTTTGTGTATTAAGGGTGTCATCAGTACACTAAGAGTTCATATGTATCAATATGTGACAGAAGTGAGATAGTGAAAGAAAGGGCAAGTAAGTTTCAATGACAAAATTCACCAACACTTAAGCAGAATAATCCTCAATTTTTACATTGCAATACTATTGGTAAACTAGCCAATGTGAGGGCTTGAAATTTCTTTCCATAATTAGAAAAACATTTGTGCCCTGAAAGGGGTTATAACCTTAAGGACTAGGGTGTTTGGCTCATAAAATAGTAGTGGTGGAGTGCTTGCATTTTATAGAGACTTTTTCACTGTGATTCATCTCTGAGAGCACAGTTCAGATGTTGACTATCTCATTAAAGAAAAATCAGCTAAGAATTTATTAAGTGAATGTATCTAGGATTATAAATTAAGGCACAGGGAAGGCAAAATCAGTACTTTCAGAACAATAACTAGCTCATTTCTGACAATTCTGGAAAATGCCCACAGGGGTGAGGTTGCAACAATGTAAAGCTAGCTAAAGACATTACATTCAGCTGGAGTTCAGGAAACAACTCGTTGGAAAAAGGAAAACTGAAGCCTCGGTTGATTTAACCTTTTCTTTTTTGAAAACTTCATTTTCTGCTGACCTTGTTGCCACGTTCTGTCCATGAGTGTGTAGAAGCGCCTGCGACCCCGTGGTGGTCCCTGCCCACCCGGCGCGGGGTCCCCGGGGCTGCAGCGGGTCCTGGGGGCGGGCTCCCGCTCCGGCTTCAGGAGGGAGCCCCCAGCAGGCTCGGAGGGCGCCCGCACCTCGCGCGGGTCCGCCAGCACGTGCCGAGA